CTGCGCGTCAGACACGACAAAGACGTAGCAGTTTATCTTGTCGCCGTCGCCCGCACTGGCGTTCTTGGTGCGCTTGATCTCCAAAGTGATACCATCCTGGGTGTTTACCAACCGCAGACCCTGACCATGTAGGTCTTCATCGTTGATGGTGCGCATGTCAATCCACAGTGCATACTTATCATTAAAGAATTCCTCAGGGCTAATTTGGTCGCCAAACTTACGCATTGCCTCCCTGTAGATATCCCAATCCTTCCAACTTTGAAGGAGGCCATAGGTAGAACAACGGACGACAAGCTCCTAGCCGATGTGCGGAAACGATATCCTAAAGCAAGCTCGACTCTTTTAGAGTTCCAAAGGGGAAACAAGGGGCAAATCCAAGTCCGATACACAGGCAGGGGAAAATGGTACGACTTTTATCAAAGCAAGAAGTCTAACGCACTTAATAATGCCCTTCCAAAGGAAATAACGACGGCCTTAGGAAACCCTGACTTATCCGTGTTGCATGTTTTGACCAGCAAGGAAACTGTGAGGCTGCAAGAAGAATTCATCAAAGGCATCAAAATACCTAAAGCTACTAGCCAAATACGCGCTATAGCCGAAATCCTCGATAGAGATCAAGGTAAACTCTCACAAATACAAGCCACTAAGGAAAAGGTAGAGGAAAAGCTAGCGAGCTTACCGTCGGGCAGCAGTGAAACCTTACAGTCGCAACAGTCTTTGGAATCCCTTGCGATGCAGGAAGAAGCGCAGCAAAAGATCATAAACGAACACAGGGAAAAGCTTGACAAACTTACGCAGCAACTCGAGGAAAGAGAAAGCGAATCAGTGACGGCGGCGGAGCACATCGAATACTTAAAGCAGACAATGGACGAAAGAGAAGAGGAATACATGAAGCAATATCAAACGATGTCGGATTCTCACAAACGGGAAAGCGAGGACAATAAACAGCGCATCAGCACGTTGCTACATGAAAGGGATAAGGCTAGGAAAAACTTCGACCGTGCAGTTGCAGACGTTGGGGACAAAGACGCCGAACTCAGACGCGTGGGCGCACAGCTGGAAGCTTCAGTGATGAAAGAACGGGAGTTAAACGCGCAAATCRTCGTAAAGGAGGAGCAACTTAGGCAGGTAACGCAGGCTTACGAAGATATGGAGGCGCAGCTGGAAAGGCAGCAGGAAGCAGCCGCGGACCAAGGGCGCACTGAAGGGGAAAGGGAAGCAGCCCAAGCGGAAGCAGAAGCCCTTCAGGAACGCTTAACGGAACTGCGGGCGCAAAGGGATGGTTTGGAAACGGAGTTGGGGATTACCACCAAGGAAAAGATAAAAAGAGCCCTTTTGAAGTATGGCATTCCGCTGGCATTCGCGGTCGCTATTTCGAGCGTACTAGGAGTAATCCTATCCGYGCTTAAGGCTACAGGCGCGGGAGTAAGCAAGTTGGGGTCTGGTTTGGCGGACTTGGGAAAAAAGATGGCAGCCGGCTTGCCGGGGCTGCTTGGTAGCGTTCTTGGCCTGGCACTTAGGACCGGCGGAGAACTGTTAAAGTTTGTAGGGAATAACATCTGGATCTTGGTCGTAGCTATTGGGGTGGTACTCCTGAAGAAGATGAAGGGTTAATCTTATCAGACGCCCGAGGCATCCTCGACCGGGGATAAGTAAAAATAGTATTCGCGCCGCCTTGAATGCGGAACTAGCGGCAGCACGCTCATGGTGCTAATGGGCTTATGACTCCAAACCGCGTCGGGGCTGGCAACGCCGCCGACATAATTTATCCTTACGCCGCCATCGTGAGGGAGAATTTGCAGCTTGATATATTGGCAATTGGCTATCATATGAAAAGTAACCGGCGTTAAGTCTTCTGCACTTAGCGGAGGGGGTTCCGACGAGAAGTGAGCCGAATCCCTAATATTAATCTTTGTCCTGTAAGGTGGCAATGGGTGGTTATTCTCGTCAATGAGCATAAACCCCACGTTTGCACCCGCCCCCGTGTTAATGCTAATAGTACATATTATTAATCCTAAACCCCCAACTTCAACCCACATTCCGATATCAAGCCACTCATTCCCTTCTCCGTACGTTTTTGGGTCTAAACAGTAAGCATGATGCGTTTCTGTTAAGTGTGGATTCATATATTTAAAGACTAACCACCGTAAGAGTGCTAATGGTGGCGTGATTATAGGGCTGGTCTCTTTGGTCGTGTATGCTATTCACCGTGGCCGTTCCCGTATCGTCTACGCGTATTTGCAGCTTTACTTTCCCGTGGCAGTCGGCGACCATGTGGAGGGTCCAAACGGAGAGATTCTCGGGGCTGTTGGGGTTGGGCTCTACGGAAAAATGTACAGGCTCCCTGTTGTTTGTCTTCGCGCGCATAGGCTGCAGTACGTCATTCTCATCTAGAAACCTAAAGCCCACGTTGGCGTGACTGCTCGTACCAATGCAAATACTACAAAGGATTAACTTCTTTCCTGAGTAGTTCAAGTCCACGGACATCCYCGTGACATCAACCCAAGATGCTTGGGTGTATTTTTTCTCACCTGTGTAAGTCGTATAGACACAATCTACTCCAGCTACGTAGGGGTTGTTCATCGCCATATATAATAGCTCAGACCAATGCTTGCGGTGGCTAAGCCGGCTTTTAGTAAGTTATGGTCATATTCCTCGGGTATGGTTGGTAACGCGGGAATATGCTTCTTAACTACGGGTAGCTTCGTTTCGTGTGACTTTTTTGGCTTCTCTACGAAGTGAGGAATGCCCTTGGTCATGTCAGAGTTCACGTCATTCACCCCAAACTTCATGTCTTCGGTTGCTCGCTGCAGCTTGTTGTTATAACCCACAACGGAATTAGTGTTAATAGCCAAGTTACTTGGCATTAACCAACAACCAGGACTCAAGGCGTAATCTAGCCGCACTTTAGATTGCTGCACCGCTAATTGGTAGCGCTGTACAGACTTGGATATGTCATTTTCTATTATTGCGGACTCAAAAAGGACAAGGAATTCTTGTTGCGTTTCCCGCGAAGCGCCTTGGGATCCAACAATGGGGCTGCGGGTATTTACCTGCGCTCCCAGGGTGCAGTAGACGAATGCTTCAATGCTGCGGTTAATTCGAGCTAGGTTTCTTAGACCTTTTCCTTTTAATAATACGAATGGATCCCAAGGACTGGGGTAAATCGTTTGGATTCTGTCGATCAGCGTAACGTCATTCTTGCGACCACCCAAGTCGTAAAACTTTAGGACCCCGGGGTATTTTTGATGATACATATCTGCCGGACGCACGCCGTCAACATGCCAAGCATAGATAATGCCCAAGCCATGCGTGGCACCCTCCCGATAACGAAAGTCTCTTTGCTGCGGCTTAAACTCATTCATTAGCCTTTCTAGGGCAGCGGAATCGTAGGGGTTGTTCATTCGATTGAATGGCTTTTTCCCCGGCAGGGGCACTCTTAGCTCCTTCAATATGCGCCGCATAGTAAAGGCAACGTGGAACCTTAGAAAGGCAATGTCGAACATATCCGCGGCAACCCCGCAGCCCTTTGTAGCCGCCCAGACGGCAAAGTTTAACTGCTGCGGCCAGTATTTGAAGTTAGGCCCCCTTAACCATTCGTGGGCTTCTTTTCCTGAAGTGTGCGTAAGGTTAAAATCCTTAAAGATATCCCTTATTACTACGTCAAAGGTTTGCTTACCCACTGGAATCTTTAGGTGTGTTACCAGCTTATCAAAGTCGTTTATACCACCTTCGGCATCATAAAATGGGTAATCTTCCTTGGTTAACAATAAATTCTCCGGGAACGCGGGCTTTGGATCGTTATACACGGGTTTGGGTTGCTTCCTTACAGGCTTTGGTTTCAGATCGTTATGTATGGGTTCTGGCTGGTCATAAATATCATTCCCAAAAGCGTCGTACATTAGTATATATAATGGATGTTATACCATCGGCACCTAAGTTGTACCCAGATGTTCCAAACTATCACACCACAGCACCAATTGAAAACGCTGAGAACTTTCGCTTAAACAAAGCAAATTTAATCCTGGCTTACTTGGACGCACAAGTTAAACACTACGAGAATGTAAGGAAGAAGTATGCCCGCGCCCGGAGTACGCTACATAAGATTGCGATAACTTCAGGATCCATATCCGTAGTGTTAACGGGCTCCGGCGTTGCTACTTCTTTGACGGGGCCCGGCGTTGTTGTGGGTGTCCCTTTGGCCGGCGTTGGGGCGGCTTGTGGTATTGTCTCCGCTGTCTCCACGGGCATCATGAAACAATTATCGAATAAGATATCCAAACATGACACGACCATAGCCCTAGCAAGGGCAAAGTCTAACACGATTGCCGACCTCGTCTCCAAAGCTCTTGTCGACCGTAAGATAGACGACGTGGAGTTCTCCTTGATTCTTGCGGAGGAGAAGAAGTACGAGGAATTAAAATCGGGCACCAAAAAAACAATCATAAGGGATCTTTCCGACGAAACCCGAAAGAAGATCTACCAAGAAGCAAAAGAGGACCTACAAAGAAAACTCGCTCAGTAGACATTCACTTTGAATTCACGTCAACGTCTGGGTATCCATACTAACAGCGGATGCTCGGGGTCGATTTCCTCGAAGATCTCGTAGATCGCGTCTGGATAGTGGGGAATATTCTTATCCAAACGGCAAAACAGCCACTCAGCTCTACTCATCACATCCCTAGACACCTCCGGGATGGGTTCATTGGTAATTTGAGATAAAAGGTAGGGAATAGCTTTGTAATATTTCCCTAGCTYTAGTCTTTTCAGCGTTTTCCGTAGACTTTGCGGGGTTGCCTCTTCTAAGTCAAGCGCAATCATTTCCATCGTTTGATCTCC